GATGGACTGAATATGAATGATGGAGTGAACAGTAAACAGCCATCAGGTGCTAATGATCCATTGTTAGGCTGATGGTCCTTCTTGAGCATGTGATCAGTTGGTTCTGGTTGTCAGCAGCAAAACTGGTTGATCCACTCTGAGAAGGTGCTATTTAAGAGACTGAGCTGAAAACAGCTCCTCAGACTGAGGAAGTCTCTTGGATGAGAGACGAAACGTTTCTAGATTTTTTTGCTTTGTTTTTTTTTTTTTTTGAATGTCCAGAGGACCAGATTGAACTTTTTTGGAGTTTTGTTGTGTGTTTCCTTGACTGATGAAGCCTTCTGGATTGAAAGCGAAACGTTTCAGCACAAAAAAAGAAACTGTCCAGATGACCTGGCTAAAAAATGTTGGATATTAATTATACAATCATTTGCAGGATAGCGAATGTAATAAACAAGCGCTGCATAGCGATAGCTTGTTATGGAAGTGTTTAACTGCCGTTTAACGTATCAATGACATGATATGTCATGGATCACTGGGCACTTTTAAATGGGTACACTGAAATTCTTGAGCTTTTTTGGTGAGTATACACCGTATACCTGCGTACTGTGTAACTACACCACTGTTGTACACTAACCATGTAGTTACTGAAGTGGTAATGTAATTCTTTCTCTGTCTTTAGAAAGCAAATTTAGCATATAGAGCGTCTCGATTCATGGATAAGAAATTCCTTATCATCCACCCAACAGCTGATGGTATGTCATACTTTATATTACAATAAATAAGTTAATGAAAGACCAATCTGACATTTGTATCATTCTCTTCAGAGAAAGTTCATTTTCAACACACAGCAAAGTTCATCTCCCAGCTCATTAGTGAAAAGGCCAACTATACCTTACAGGTACGTGGATTTACTTCTGTATCTGCAGCCTGGGCTCTTCCAGCCTTTGGCAGCTCTCTCATCTGTTTCACTGCACACAGAAAACGATCTGTTTTCAATCTCTGCAGTTCCCTTCATGAATATTGAGACCTCTTTACGGCAGAATTCTTTAATTACACTATTTATAATACAATCAAATCCTCTCACTGATGAAATAGATGTGTTTAGATTTTTTTTTTCCAATCATAGAATAACTTTGTTGTGTCAGTGCTACAATTTTGTCAATAGCAAAACTCCTTTTGTTTCATTTATGTTTAAGCTCAATATAATTTAAGTAAAACTTGAGCTTTGTTTACATGATAAAGTGTTCGAAAAGCGTTTGCAAACACAAACTTGTATTTTCTGATATCGTTTCCT